AAAGGTGCCACAGGACCCTCTGTTGCTTTTGTCAATTTTGTGTTTCTGTTCCAATACGCGAGCTTCCAAGAACTGCAGTGGAAACAGACTTAACAGAAATTATAAAATGGCATGTTCTTACATGTACATTTCTTGCTATGGTCCTGGTCCTAACTAATTTCCACTCATTCATATATTATTAGTGAAAATTTAATGATTTTGTGGAAATGATTTTGTGCAAAGTTTTTTTTTTTTAAGAAAGTTGTATAAATACAATTAATAAACTTCTCATCTAGAAGTTTAAGACCAAATTTTAGGAGAGCGGAGAAAGGAAAGCATTTTCTTTCAGAAAAGCATGGAAACCTGGAAAAGACCAAGAAATACTACTTAAACTGAAAACCAGGTGCAGGGATAAGGAACAGGAAGCAAAGCCAGATAAGAAAAGGGTTGTAATTCATATTACATGCAGCTTATATGGATAAAAAGTTAAAAGGAACCTTGCAGAGATAGTCGTGTCTTTTCAGGGGCCATTCAAGGCCTCAATCCTGCAAAGATTTATGCATTAAGTTCAGTATGTCATTAGACTTCACAGGATTGGGGCCTAAGAGGCTCTGTCAGTCTGGTAGAAGTTGAAGAACCACCTATTTCCAAGCTCTGCAGACTCCTTATCTTTCATGTTTGTTTTAAGAGATAATTTACAGCATCTCCTAGATCTTATTTTTATATTTATGTAGGCAATGGAACTAAACACTGAATGTACACTGTCTCAGTGGTTCTCAACCTTTTTTTATTTGCAGGACCCTAACAAATTTCGAATGGCATTGCGGACCCCTTTGGAAATCTACTGTCTGTATTATATATAGTTGAATTCTGTTCAGTCCGAGTCTTTCACAGACCCCTTAGACGTGGTCTGCAGACCACAGCCTGAGAACCACTGGTCTAGAAGAGCTGAAAGTACAAAATGAAGAGGGCAAAACCAAGCTGATTATTTCCCAAAGTAGAAAATCATTTCTCGTCATGTTTGTTTATATTTATAGACATTTCTATGAAAGTAAGCACCTATAAATGGACACACCATGCAATTTCATTAAAGGGGCACTGTAAGCTTTAACGTCACATTTCTGTCTGAGAATACTGTCTGCAACAAGTAACATTTACAATTACAATACATGGAAAAGATTAGAGGAAAAAATAATTTGCTTTCTTTTTTCAGTTCATTCACTTTACACATTTGCTAGCACTTTCTGCATAGTGAATCAGTCAGTCCATTTTCTCTGTGAGGACTTTTTCCACATAGCATCAGGCAAAGGAAAAGCATCTTAAGAAAAAACAGAAGATGAACTTGTACAACCATAAAAACTGGCAAGGGGTACTCCAGGACAAGTGCAAGACTTTAAGTTACTTTTTAAACTCTAAGACTTCAAGTTGATTGTGTCCCTGCAACTGCTAGACAGCATAGGATTTTAAAATAAGAAAGTGTGACCCAACACACCTGCTGATGACCTACATCAGTATACACTTATTGACCTAATTCATTCCCACTGTCTCAGAGACCTCATTCCAGGCTTTAGCCAAAGAAAGCCAATGTTATTAATAAGGTGCAATTTCCTTCTTATACACGATTGTGTGTTTAACATAATTTCAAAGTACTCTGAGTCTTGGATAGCTTTTGTGAATTGCTGTATAATACTGTATTTACACAGTACAGCTTTTGTGAATTGCTGTATAATATAAAAATAAATACTGTATTATCCATATCTGATCTGTTTAGTTTTTATTAGCAATTTTAAAGCTTATTAGTATGCAGATACTTTCGCAGCTAGCCATCTGAATGACTGAGGTCTGATATAAAAACAAAAATGTGCAGATGTGGTGCACCATCTTAAGCAGCTACATATTAGTTATAAGTTCTTTTAAACTTCTAAAATTCTGAAATGTGATGCACTTCACGTAGCATCAAAAGCTACAGTAAGTGAACTGCAAGACTTTTATTCAGTATCGCCATTTCATTCCACAGCCCTTGAAAAACAGTACAGCAAAACAAGTCATAAAGAAGGACAACCTGCAATGACTGGCGACACTTGAGTTGTCTGTCCTGTAACCGCTTTGCTATTAATTGGTTTTGCAAAGATCAGCTTGGTGATTACTGGGCCAGAAGTTGGTGTTCGGGTCTTCTTAGCAATCTGAAAGAGGGATGTAGAGAGAGAGAAGAGAATTTTAAAATAACCTCATAGAGTTGGGATTTGAAATACAATTTTTCTAGGTTCATAATAAAGGGGAGGGGACAACACTCATATAATTGAGCAGAAGTGATTAATCCATAATATTCTGCTGTTGTTTCCCTCCCACTCACACCCCAATTTTTCCCTAGGGAGAGAATTAGGTTGTCATTAGTGCCATTTGGTCAGCCAGCGAAGTAAACAAAGGTGCAGCATATTTCTTTTCCAGATAGAGTAAATCTCTTCCAAAATATGTCTGGTCACAAAAGACCCTTGGGCAGAAGTCCTAAAATTGTTTCCACATTCACCCAGAGTTTTATTTAAGAAGTTGAAGTATATTTGCGGATACAGAAGTGCTTGATTTTTAAAAAGTTACAACATTTCAAACAAGGTATTTATTCCTAGTCTGAGCTATTGAAGGAAACTGTGTTTTGGAAGTGTTAGTCCATCTATCCCAACCTGGAAGCACACTTCTACCGCACTGCTGGTGATGGGGATACCATGTTCAGCCTCTATTGTAAGAAAACGCTATCAATCCCTGGGAACTTTTGACAACTTACGTTTAAATAGCTGCAAATGTTCTGTACACAGAAACGAAGGGTACTTTTTTCCTGCAGTGAACCTTCCATACCTGTGAAGACTGATCCAAGTCTTCGAAAATATGGCTTGATAAGAGACAGGTAATTTTAGCTGGTTGAGGGAGTTCAGGTCCAATTGAAAATTTATAAACAAGCCTTTCATCTCCCCATCCAATTTATGGAAATCAAAACCTGACCTCCTCAACAGAGCACTAGGTTGTGTTAGTCATAGTGATCAAATCTGATACTGGTATTCAGCTGGCAAAGAGTTGTGGGTTACTGATTTAGAATTAAGATACCTTATTCCAGTCACTAGGAAATATTTTAATTTGCTGGTCACGAAAGCTCCCTGCAGCTGTCTGTTACCAGTCAGCAGGTATAAATTGAGGCCCACGGCCTCAGTATTCTAGATATGGCAAGTAGGGATGGCTCTACCTTTAGCTTCTGGGCATTGTGTGGGAGCAAGGGTCAGGAGGGCATATACTCTAAATGAATAGAAGGGGAATTGTGGGGGGATAAGAGGACCTTTTGGAGGAAGAATGGGCTGGTTGTTGGTCCCCAAATACCGACAGGCAGATTGGGTGACAGTGGGAGAGTAGACTGCATCTCTGTCCAGTTGTCCCTTAAGTTACAAGGTCACGGTCTAGTTCCTCTTTAGCCTCCCCGCCCACCTCCCCTCCATTTCTGCCAATGAGGTAAAAGAATCCTACAATCTCCCCCATCCCTCACATCTCACCTGGGGATGAGAAAACATACAAACAGGATGTTCAAAGCCCTTGGGATCTTTCAGCCCACCCCCAAATAGCCATGTGGTGGAAAGAGGTAATGAAGCTGGAGTGTGTCAGTGGTGAAACACCTTGCGGTAAGAATGCCATTTCCAGCTTTCAGAACATCCCCTCCTAATTATGTGGTTTTGGAAGTGAGCCAAGTTGATTGGAGAAAAATTTTGGCTCCCCTATTAGGGCACTCTGACCAAAAGTCAGCCCTGACAATTACCAGTGTGGTAGATTAGAAGTTTATTTTTCCCACTTAACACCACCAGATTTACACCAGTGTAATTCCAGTGACTTGAATGGAGTTGCTACACCATAAAACCAACAACAGAGTAGAGAATCAGGCCCTAAAACTTGGGATCAGAACCACAATTACATTTCATTCTAGAGTAACCTATAGAGAATAAAATCTGTGAACACTGCAAGAATTTGGACATGTAAATTATGATTTTATATGGCCACAGTAAAGAGGCCGTTAAGAGGAAGTTATTGCCAAGTGGGCTAGTTTCTAGTTATATTAATCACTGACTAAAAGCACCCGTGGTGTTTTGTTTTTAAGAAATGCTGCAGTTTTAAAATTGATCTGCATCAGCCCACCATCAGCTCCGAGACCTTCAAACAAGAACTAGCAGTTGGGTCATTTCAGATCACAGCAGTGTACTCTGTGATACGAGTTATATAGACAGCACCACTGGAGGAGTCAGTGCTCACATCTAGTGATGGCTGTGGGAGGCATTAGGTCTGTAACTGTCTGGAGAATCATCCTAGTACATTAGCTGCCGTCCTTTTCAAGGAATTTAGTGTTACTGTCTTGACAATGAAACCTCCCTAGTAAAACAAACTGTGCCTCTGTCCTCCCTCAGCTGTACTCAGCCAACAGCAGCAAAAGGAAGATGGTTTTAAAACCAGACACAGCTAGAAAGCAGATCTCATTTAACGGAAACCATGGACTCCTCTGCACTGCAATGCAAAATTATTCCAAAGAGAAAAGTTCTACCTTATACAGTCCGTGAATCAAGTCCAGCTGTGGCCTGGAGATTTATTCTCCTTACATATACTGTACATACTATTCTATGCCTTGGCACTGATTTTCTCTTCAGTTTCAGAAAGTACAGAACCAAAAGATCAAAATATCTTTAAAAAATGTGGAAAGAAAATATAAATATAATACAGTATGCAGCTCATATAGTTTTAGAGCCTTAAAATGAGGCAAAATTTACTATTAGCCCAAATGAAAGTTTGTTAAAACATACGGGAGACAGAAATTAGTAAACAGAAGTTTGAGAGTAAAAAAATATTAGCAGTACATTATATTTAATTGTTTGGAAAGAGCAGATCTCATCTACATTGCAGCGTATAATTGTGTAGCATGTAGGTTTAAGGAAAGTTAAGAGTTAGCTCTAATAATAGACACTACCATGATGGGCAGCTGTTTAAAATCCTAAAATACATTTGTTTTAAAGAGATATTTATCAGTAAAATTGCTTGTACAATTTAAAAAAGTATCATAAATGCACACACACCTCTAACAGTAAATATCTGTCTACTAATAAACCCCCTGAAATTGTCTCTGTCCTGTCAGAAATCAGTCTCACCTGCTCTGGACTATTACTATAATTCAGTCACTTTTACTCTCTGAAGTGACAAGTGAGGTCAAAAAGTCAAGCTATTCCAGCATACAATCCATGTCTAGCAGGAACACCTTTGTTTGAGATGACATTAGGTATTACTAATGAATAGTGATTCATCTAGTTTTAAAGCACTGCCATATATCGGGCTGCTGCTCATGTGAAATATTTTAGGAACACTCAAACTAGAGTTTTGGTGGCGGTTGTTTTTCTTTGCCAAGCAGGGGGTTGCAAGCCTGGGTGGTGGGGAGATCAGGTACAGAGAGGGGAGCAGGAGGGGATAATTGCAGCAGAAAGAGATTGCAACTAATTCTATTGACTTGTGTCTGACAAGAATGTCAATTTTACGCAGCAGCTACCCAGGGCTCCCAGGTTCTGCAGCTCTAGAGCAGCCCTGCCACGCGGACTGCCCCGGACCAGGAACTAAAGAGCTTCCACACTCCTGGGACAGTGGGCATCCCAAATACCCAGCTGGCCCGGCAGTCTGGAAGTCCTGGGGTCCCCAGTCTGGGGCAGCCAGCATGGGGGGTTGCCCTGGAGCCGCAAACCCTGGAACTCGGGAGCCCATCCCAGGACTTCCATACTTCTTGAGGCGGAGCTGGGAATTGAACCCTGGTCACAGCTAAGGCTTTCAGGGCCTCCAGCTCCACAGCAGGCAGGGAACCAGGCAGGTTTCTGACAGAACCCTGCCTCTGATTCAGCTAAAGTTCATCAAACCCAACTGGCTTTAGCAAGAAATGTCAAGTTTGATGAACTAGTATTTTCCAGTGAAGTTTCTGACCAGTCCTACTAGGTTCTTTGAATTGGAGCGTGAAGAATCTTCCCTGCAAGCAGCTCTCCCCTAAGGAAATGTGATGTGGCAATATCACAAGAGAAATGCATTCAGCTCTCTGCTCCGGAGAGAATACAAACAGGCTGCTTTGCAAGTGTCTTTATTTATAGTAAGGGTCAAATTCTGCCCGGGATGTGCACTCACAGCTCAGTGGAAACAGCACACATGTATCTAAAGGCAAATTTTGCCCTTATCTGTTAGATTAGAATATGCTTATACAAATATATGCTAGATGATTCTGACCTATACATGCAAATACAACTAACCTATACACAGTATTCTGTCATGTCAAATCTGGAGATGTGATAGAGCAAAGGTGAAGAGAAGTACCACGCCTATTTTTCAGGAAAGATGACTGAGCTTGAAGAAACAGGTTCAGGGAGCAGGGTTTGGAGCAGGGAGGGGGAGGAGAGAAGGGTGGTTTTTAATTTGAAGCGAAGATACCATTGAGGTGGCTTAAAATATTTTCTCTATTGCAACCTATCGGCTCTGCCAGTTATCACAGCAAGACAAATTCATTTAGCAATTGGAGTGGAGATGGGGCTGGGCATGAGATTAGATAGAGGCATGAGTAAGGCCAGATCTACACTCAGAACTTTTGCTGGTAGTAATGGGGGTTGGAGTGTGATTTTTTTATTATATTTTTATGCTGGCAAAAGCCCTGGTGCATTTATAACATCATACGAGTCCTTTTGCCTGTATAGTTTATTTCAGCGGGAGAACTGATATAAGTTATATCATCAAAAGATCTCTTTTGCCAGTATAAGTTGCTTCTACACTAGGAAGATTTGCTGGTATAGCAAACCTTTCCTAGCATAGACAAGGCCCAAGTTTATAATGCATTTTACAATCAGTAGCATTGAGGATTCAACATAGCACTAAGAGAGGGACTTGGATGCTATAGAATGTTTTACTAAATTCCTATTAGTTTTGCCTTTTCCAAAGTAATGGGATTGTATCAGTTACTTAAGGTCCAAACTGGAAGACAATGGGGCTGTACTGGTGTAACTGAAGGTCTAACATGACCTGAACAACTTTTAATACCAGTAATGATATATGTTAAGAACACAGCTAGATTCTCAGATCCCAGGCTGATTTTAATCAATTCACTTTTCAGAGTCAAACAGTATTTTAAATAAATAAATAAGATAAATTATTATCACTTTACATAGCCTTCCATTGGAGGATCTCAAATGGTTTTACAAATCAATTAATTAAGCCTCCCAAAATCCTTGAGGTAGGAGAATAGCATCACCATTTCACACACTGGGGAACTGAAAAGTTAATCAGAGCCAGAAAGAGAATCTGGATCTCCTGACTCCCTCTGTCACAATTAATCGCCAAGATCAGGATTCTCAAACTTTGTAAGTGTGGACAAGATCTTAATAGTGAGATTATCTTTCCCTCACACAACACCTTCTCTCACATTCACGATCTTGTGGATCATGGATTTCTCTCCCATTTGCAATGACATAATATCCCTGTATTATGAATTTCTTACAAGGAAAAAGCAGTATGAGGGAAGTGTTTATATATTTCTGTTTTTGTTGCAGTAAGTGCTTTATTGTTTTTAAAACAGTTAGTCACACTGTTGAATCTTGGTCTGCGTTTTTTTTCTCCCCAATCCCATCCATTCCCCTCCTCTATATCCCTTGCTTCTCTGCACTTGCTTGTTTGCCACTTGGTCCTCTTCTTCTCCAGAATGATTCCCCTACCACTAGTCCACCTTTGACACTACTACATAAACTTCTCTGTAGAAGCAGCTGGAAAAAAAAAGACCCGGCATCACATGATGAGCCTGTTTCGTCAAGAAACTGCTGCAGTAGACCACAGTGCCCACACTAAGCCATAATCTACCCTTATGGATCTCTTACATATTATTAAACATGCATGCAGATGGCATAGCTTTATAGGGGTGTGGTTTTTAATCAAAAACATTAATAGTAGCTTTTGAAAAGCCAAATGCAAACAGTTACATCTATTTTACAAAAGGAACCAAAGGGGAAGAGCAAGTTCGTTTTGTAGAGCAGTGACTCTTAAGGCCTTGCAATTGGACATACATCAGTTAATCAGGAAAACCTTCAGGATTCCTAAAGGCAAGAAAATAGCGGAGGACAATCAAGAAGAATCACAGCCTTTCAAGTCTCAGATGCCAGAGGCAAGAGGAAAATTATAAATGCTGCAACCCGAGAGTGCCACACAGCTTATGCATTTTTTCCTTTAGCTTTCTTTTAACTGCCAGCATCAGCTCTACAACTCAAGCCAAATGGCAGGAACTGATCCATTCTTAAATGTGCCTATGCTGAGTCAGGAGCCACCGCCTCTTTTAAAGATATTCTGCCAACCTTAACATTAACCAAGGAAATAAAAAAGAAATCAGTAGGGAACAGTCAAACACTAACAATCAACATTAGTCAGGGATTTGATCTTCAGCTTTGATGTGGCTACAAGCACCGAGCAATATGAAAAAAGACTGCACTGGAAAATAACACTGAGATTGTATGGTGCTTTAAAATACATAGTCTCAAATGTTATGCATGCTATAGTTTGTGTTTGCTTGCTGTGAAATATCCATTTGGAAGTTTAGCGCTCTAATTTGTTGGCTTATGGCGCCATCATTTTACATGCACAGCAAGTATTCTGTTTTTTATATAGACTGTTTGAGTTTTATTCTCGTATCCCCAGCTAATGTTTGTGGGAAATTCTTTTTTCCAGATTCAGCCGGGTGTGCTTTAGAAATGTAAACAGCAATCGGGAAGAAAGAAATAAGGATTTAGAAGAAATAAACTTAATATCCATGCAGAGTTCAATCTTCCTAAAGGTATATAGAATTAACTGAAACGCTCAGTGAAGAATTCTCTCCACTGCAATAAATTCTGATGGCACAGACACGATAAACCTTAATCTCCCAAAAGGTAGTTGGATGTAAAGAATTTACAATTTAAATACATTCACATATGACTGGATACACTAGAAGCAATATTCTATATATACGCACAGTGAATTCTGAGGGTTGCGTGTGCACACACATGCAAACACATTTCTATCAACAAAAACGAACCTTCAATATGGGAACAGTTTTAGTTTTAAAACAAAAAGGGTTTAATTTTAAAAAAGTTTCATTAGTACAACCCCTTTTACCTGTACTGTTTTTAACTGCTGGGTCTGTAATACAGAAGACTGGGCTGCAGTATTTATCAGCTGACTTCCCGGCGTCAAAGAGGAGACACCAACGACAGGCTTCATCTCTGGCCTCCCTCCAATAGTAACCACTTTGATCTGCTGGGCTGGTACCTTGGGGTCTCCTGCCTGAGCCTGAATTGTGGCCTTCTGCGTCTGGGGTAGCTGGTTGTGGGGTAGTGCTAAGACAATTGGCTGGCCAGCCTTTCCCAAAGTTGTCACAATTAGCTTTTGTCCTTCTTGTTTAATAGTTTGGTTGCCAAGTTTAAGATCAGTGGCCTTGTTCAGAATAATCTGATTGGCTGAGATGGTGACAGGAGTCTGAGCACCAAGTTTATGGAGGCCACTTTGCAAGGTAGGTTTTACTGTTGCATTAGTGTCAGTTTTTGTAATTGTGGTATTCACTGTAACTTGGCTTGAGTGATTGCTGGGCACGGTAGCTGGTTCTGTGGTGGCTGTGATTGTAGTTGCAGAGTCACTGGCTGAGCTTATGTTCACTATTTCTTCCAGTTCTGTTTCCATAGGAATAGCATCTCCCATAGGTGACGCCACAATAACAGCCTCAATGCTATCGTCTTCCATCAGAGTTATACCAGTGTCCATTATCTCCTCAGGGAGTAAGCTGTTCACCTCTGCTGACACCACCTCCATCGTAGACGTTCTGGCAGTAAGGCAACGACCAGGCACTGCAACTGTATTAAAAATAATAATAATAAAGGTCAATTAGTAGGTCATAAATTATTAAACTCCATGACAACATACATTTCTGCAAAGCTTCATGAATAGTATTACCACAGAGGAACATAAGTGCACAAATACTGGAGGTGGAGGAATTTTAGCAGAACTATATTTTCATGTGAAATTTATCCTTGATTCTTTAATAACATTTACTTGAATAATCCTAATTTAGATCAGACCTCCTCCAGCAGCATTACAATACACCCACATCTCCTTAGGCCAGAGAAAGCCAGGAATTAAAATGTAAGAGTTCATGAATGGTTTTAGTGGTCACACATGCCAACATTCATTACCAAGCTGTCATTCCATGGAGTTGTTTGAAGTAGTGAATGTGCTAATAGTTCACTTGTTTACGAGTATTAATTTCAGTGATCTCAGCAACAGCACATGGGAAAGCAGAGCTATTTTAGTGACAAACTTAGTTACCTATTGAACTTGATCACCAACCCATTTGAGAACCAAGCCAATAGTGCTGCTTTTCAAAGCCATGGATGATTTCATGCTTCGGCTGTCCCACGGGGTGGGGGGAAAAGCACAGCTCACTTGTTCTATACTTATTAGAAAAGAAAGAGCCTCAAATTGTGACTGTAATATAAAACATCCAGTGAATAAATGAACTAATCTGCAGGACACAGCAGGGTGTGCTGAATTGATTAGAAAGAAAAGCAAGCTTAAAAAACAGAATTAGCAGTGGGTTCTCTACATGTGAGTCTCTTAACTTGAAAAACCTTGAAGAGGGGAAAATGAAAATGGCAGAATCTCCTGTAAATATGATACAGAAGCATGAATATTGGACTTCCCATTAAAAAGGTAACATTGTCAGTCAACAATGATCAGCATTTTAAAATACCACCTTCACCATTTGCCTCCTTCCATCAGCTTATTTCTTTCACCTTGTAGTGGGTGGGCACACTATGTACCCTCTTATCATTTACAACATTCACGCTGAACCTCAGGGTGTAGCAACCGTAACACCTTGTCCTCGCAAACCTGGGTTTGCACGTTGCACAGCAAAGTACAGTGGTGCCATTTTTACAGCACTCCCATTCATAATTAATGGATTATTGTTGTGGATGGTTTAAAATGCATGGATTAAATGTCGAGGTTGCATTTATTGATTACAGTGCCATTGTGTGTCCGAATTTGCACTATTTTATGATAATAGCCAAACTGACCATAGAATTATTCACCCATGAAGTACAGAAGCTAGGGAAAAACTGCAGTATGTTATCTAGTTTATATGCTGACAGGCTGATGATGAAAGCAATTAACAGAGGCAGGGATTCCCACTAGTTTCAGTTTATTTTTGTTCATTAGAATGTTGTAAGAAAACTATACAAGAAAAAGACGATCAACAAAACATTTTTATGGTGCAGCTTGGAACTTACAGGTCATTAAAGAGTTTTGCACCAAATACACTTGAAGAACTGAGAATCTTGGGGCAGGTCTACACTACAGATTTACAGCAGCACAGGTGCAGGTGTGCCGCTGTAGCGCTTCTGGTGAAGACACTCTAAACCGACAGGAGAGAGCTCTCCTGTCGGCTTAATAATTCCACCTCTGTGAGGGGTGGCAGCTATGGTGGTGGGAGAAGCTCTCCCGCCGACATAGCACTGTCTACACCGGTGTTTAGGTCTGTATAACTACGTCACTCAGGAGTGTGAATAATCCACACCCTTGAGCGATGTAGTTATAGCGCAGTAATTTTGTAGTGTAGACCAGAGTTTGGTATTAATGACTTGAGCCAAGTTTGTTTTCTATAATAAACTTGATGGGAAATTTGGGATATTTTCATAACAATACTTAGCATTAGAACTTTATTCTTTGCCTGTTATGGGAAAAGGCTAATTTTTTAAACATACTAGTATTTAAACCAAACTCCCTTATTTATTATTTTTAGCAATAGTGTAGGGAATTTTTTTGTATGTCATCACAAACATAGCTTGTTATGAACAAGAGTAGGCTTTGTACGAATTCTATGGCCCTTTAAAAAAAAATCAACGTTTTTGTTGCCATCAGGGATCGGAAACTTTTCTATAGCTAATTTAAGACCTACCAATTCCCTAGGCTAGTAACAAAAGACTGTAGAATCTAGTGGATAAGATGCTAGTTTCACATTTCAAAGGTTGCAAGTTCAAAATTTGTTCCTTCAAATATTTTTTCTACTCTTTTAAAGCAAGGAAGTAATGTACGTGATGACAAATATTTCAATGTTAAAAAAAGCCAAGCTAAAAAGTGACTGGCTGTTTAAATGGTTAAAGTGAACAAGTCTCTAGGACTAAAAGCCATTTAAAATGATAAACCCTTTTGCAACATGGTTGATTTAGTAGCTACCATATAGTTATATGGCTGCACTGTTCCTTTTCTAAATAGGCTTTATTTGTAATATGTGAAATGTTATGCATTATGCCTCATGTAGGCAAAACTCTCACTCATCCAAGAGAAGCTCTGTCCACATGAGCTCTTTTGCTTCCATAACCAGCATAGGATCAGGCGCCAATTATTTTTCCAAAGAAACATGAATGAGACAAGATGGGTGAGGTAATATCTTTTTTAGACCAACTTCTTTTGGTCAAAGAGACAAGCTTTGAGTTTACACAGAGCTCTTCTTTAGGTCTGGGAACGGTACTCAGAGCATCACAACATGAATGCATAAACATGCCTACACTTAATGGCACATAAGTAACCCCTCAACTGCAGCCACGAAAACCCATTTTATTTTAAGGGGATTGTTTTTTTTAAATGGATCTCAGAACATGATAAAATAATGCACTGACATTAACATCACTAATAAATTATGCTGCCTTTATTTCTCAACATTATACCAAGCTTCAGCTACTAGTGTGAGATAACTTACTCATATGACCCACAGGCATGCCCACAAATACACAACTCACTTATTGGCCAGCACGTAAAACTGTTTATTTCTCTGATGTCACTGCCAGAAATACCTCCTTTGGAAAACTTTACTTCTCGGATGATGGCAGCACAGTCTGTAGTGATGCCATGCCTTGTAACTACTGGTACAGAAAACAGTACTTCTTGTAAGGACATATTAGATAATAGTGCCACACTTCTGCTTAGAAGATAACCCAAATGATCAGACAAGACTTACCACAGAATAGGAAAATACAAAATCACTTGGCAACGATTCAGCACAGGTGTGCCAAGACCACTACCTATCATGCTGATCAACATGGTCTCATCATTTCCTTCTGCTCTCCCATCTGTCTGTATCCACCTGCATTCTCTTGTCTTATACTTTGATTGTAAACTCCTTGGGGCAGGGACTAGCTTTCTGTTCTGTGTTTGTACAGCACCTAGCACAAGGGGGGCCTGGTCCAGGACTAGGGCTCCTCGATGCTACCCCAATATAATAAAATATACTTCCATATTTGGAAGTACCCAAAGTTGCCATCTTTGGCTGCAATGACTTTTTAAGAGAAAGAGAAAGAGAGGAATAGGAGAAAAAGGATAAATGCAGTGAGCCTTGTGGATGTGGAAAAATTGGAAAAAGAGTCCAGCAGAGGGCAACAAAAAATGATTAGGGGGCTGCGGCACATGATTTATGAGGAGAGGCTGAAGGAACTGGGATTATTTAGTCTGCAGAAGAATGGGGGGGGGATTTGATAGCTGCTTTCAACTACCCGAAAGGGGGTTCCAAAGAGGATGGATCTAGACTGTTCTCAGTGGTAGCAGATGACAGAACAAGTAGTAATGGTCTCAAGTTGCAGTGGGGGAGGTTTAGGTTGGATATTAGGAAAAACTTTTTCGCTAGGAGGGTGGTGAAGCACTGGAATGGGTTACCTAGGGAGGTGGTGGAATCTCCTTCCTTAGAGGTTTTTAAGGTCAGATTTGACAAAGCCTTGGCTAGGATGATTTAGTTGGGGATTGGACTAGATGACCTCCTGAGGTCCCTTCCAACCCTGATATTCTACGATATGCAAAAAACAAGGAGATGGCCTGGCTTCTTGTATTTACATGTGGCTATAAGAACCTCTCAGTAAATTTAAATCCTGATCCCCATTCACTACTTTATATATGATGAATTTCTAACAAAAATGTTATAGCATTACAATAATTTGGTACATTTTCACTGGTAAAAATGCAAACTAATAAAGGTAGATAGGATTCTTTTGATGAAAATTACAGAATCAATAGTATAAGCTAATGACTTGTGTAGCACAAGTTAAATGTTAAAAACAATCAGAATTTTTAAAATACCAAAGTTAATTACATCTATGACCTTTCCCCATTTCCTTTGACCTTGCCAAAGTAATTTCAAACTAATTTACTGAATGCAATTTTCACCAGTAAATAATTTTCCTCACATCAATCCAAAGGCAGTTGGTTAATTTCAGGCATGCAGCTAGTTTTTATAAACCTAAAAGTAGCTACATAAACATATACATCAATCTTTCAACATAATCCCCAAAATGAGTGACATTCTCTTCTGACCAGCAGAGCCATTGCCTTGTGCCAAATAAAATGAAACAGTTTTGCCAGCTACAACAGCTGGTAGATCCTTAATGCTGAAAAAACCTCTACTTCAACGCAGTGTGCAAATCCTATAGAAACACTATTTAGAACAGTGTGGGCTCTGGGAATAATGTCAGTATATTGAGCAAAGTACCAAGAAAACCCTTACAGAAATAAGGGTTTCAGAATCCAAGCCCAAAACCAAGAGAATCTCAGCAACATCTTTCCCTAACTAGGATATAACACTATCACAACCCCTCAAGAGTAAAAAAATCAACCCAGGTGCATTGGGCTACATCTGCTACTCACGTTCACAGCAATATGATTCTCCTAGGTTTTACACTAGCCATAAGCAGTGGGACAATACAATATGAGGTTAATTAGAAAAATAATCTTCTTGCAGGATGAGAAGAAAAGATCATTAAAATCTTTCAGCTCCCAAGAGACAGAAATAGAAAATGAACTGCTCAGAAGTGCTACAACAACTCAAACATGCAGAGATCTCTGCAGGTTGTTTGAGCTGTGGAAGACTTGGATTTACGGGGCACAATCAAGTTAATGGGAGACTTTCTGTTAATTTCAGTGGACTTAAGATGGTCTCTACTGAACTGGAAAGGAGGACTATTCATGATTTCCTCCTTAGTGTTTTGTTTTTTGGACTGATAGTGGACAACCTCATAGATATAGTTGTTCCCTGAAAACCAAATAGCCTCTAAATACGTCTCTGGAAAATATTTGTGTCCATTATCAAGGAAAGAAATAGAGCAGTATGTAGAACTCCCCTTACAGATAGATAATGGTAGCATGTCATCCCTTTTTGTAAATGAAAAAACAGAAGAAAAATTAAAAACACTAACATTTCAGCTGTCTTAAAAGCCCTACCAATTATATATGCTATGGTCAGGTTTGGGGGATTGTTTGATTTTTGTAAAATTGTGCACAATCATTTAGAGAAAACAAAAGAAGTACAGTATGTAGAATTTGAATATGGTTAGAAGCATAAAACATGATTCCTAGTAAATACTTAGCTGAGATAACAAAACTGCACGGCAGTTAATGAATTTCTGAGAACTGAAGAGATGCTGTAGCTCCCAAATCAATGTTGGTGAGGTAAGATGGGAGGGGGAGGGGGAGAGAGAAAAAATAAAGGCTCCTCCATGAGTTATGGTCGGCAGGACTATTTTTTAAAGCTATTAATTTGGGCAGTATGCAGTACTTCACTATTGAACCGATTGTTGCTGAAGAAAATCTACTGCAGACGCATAGACAGGTTATTTTCTTTACCAAAATAGTAAACCCATACACAAATATAAAAATGATAAGATCCATGCAGGAAACAATAATAGCATTTATAAACTTATGTCCTGCTTTTGTTTTGAACAATATACCAACAAAAAATATAAACAAACAAAAAACACAAAACAAAAATGGGATTACTTAGAATACAATTCAAATTCTAGTCAACAGCCATGAAGGTTAGAGTGGTACGTCTAGAAAGGGTACAAAAAGATAAGCAGCCTAAATTCCTAACTCTGACCCGTAAAGGAAAAAAAAATTGGAATATTATTTTTTTGTTTCCTTGTTATGTATAACAGAGGTCCTAATGGAAATGATTTTCATGTGTTTAAGCTTTTTATTCAGATCTTGTATACCTCGGAAGAGTTAACAGGATAATTGAGAACTATTTAATTATAACATTAGAGATACTAAGGAAGTAGATTGTTTAAAACTCTATTTCTCTTAACACCTTTCTAACAAACGACAGAAAGAAAAATCTCTCTTTGTTAAGGATACAACATATCAATCCCTTCAATTAAGGGCTGTGGAAGCTCTAACTCCACTTGAGTCACTCAAGGAATTTGTCATCAAAAACAGGGAAGACAATTTACTTGGCATTCCTGATATTTTTAAGGCAAACAAGGAGAATATATAGCAAGGTAAGGTAAGAACAAGCCTTGTTTTCAAGCCAAAAAAAAACCTTGTAAAGATGAGTAAGGATGTTCAGACTCTTCTTTTACAAACCATAAAGGAACAAGTAAAAACACAAATCCTTTTGCCCCTAAGAGGGGATTAAGGGACAATAGACCAGTGGAATAAATATGTAACAAACACGAATTAAAAACAGATCTGCAAGACAGCTGGATTTAATGACCGGTTCTGTTGAATGTATAATGCAAGAAGAACAGAAAGGAACCCATTCAGATGTCACACTTTACCAAAGTTATTAAGATGTTATCACTGCTACAAGATCAAAGTATCAAAGTTTTATATTCCAAAATAATAATTAGGATTACATTACACTTCACTAAGAAAACAATGTCTCAACACAAACTATAAAAAAATTGCATTTATACAAAGTACTGGGAAGCACCAATAACATGAACCCAAGATACTATACGATTACACTGTTCTTCCACTGTCTTAAGGATCAAAAATTCCATCTCCATTTTTTTTTAAATTCTTGGAACTATGTTAATAGTAAACAATTAGGCCGAAGTCAAAAGTAATAGTCAAACTAAAGCAGTGTCTGGCCTATGATTACACAGTTGAAACTACGGCCCAGTGTCTTCCTCGTGGCATGGCTTGAAACCAGAGATTTTGAATATTACAATATGCTGCATGCAAACTGAAAAATACTTCCCCAAATCTACTCATCAGTAGCAAGTGGGAACCATTGCCTGGCAAGTGTGGCTAAGGCATCAATTTCTCCCTTAATGTAAAGTTTAATTAAAAACTGAAGTTTTTAGCCCTTCCATACATGAAGTGAATGTAATCTTATGAGATGTGAGTCTGTAGACAGCCAGCTCCCAGGCATCTATTGCAGCTTTGTCCTTTGCAAGGCAGTAACTGAGTGAGATGAAGAAGAGCTGGGTAGTTTCACTGCTGTGATTCAGAACCCTATGGGGCAGCAGTGACACTGTCAAGAATAATACCAATTCCGTAGTGCTGCTACTGCAGACTGGGAGAGCTGTGAGCAGCAGCAGAAACAGGCACTGGATTTATTCCTGGGGACAGAGGATAAAAACCAAATAGAGGCTGGGGAAGAGGTAGAATAATGAAGACCTGTCCCCATGAGTCTCAGAGACGAAGCCCTCCAACTCTACCCCCGTAGCACCACATAGGAGGCTCTGTGGAAGCACTGGCCCCCTATAAACACAGGCGGTACTGGAGGCATAGCCCTACCCCTTAGAGTAGCTACTGGGAGGGGGAAAAGGGAGTTTCTTCTCCCTTCCTGCATCTAGAATGGGTGGAGCTACCTACTAGTCAGAGATTAAAGATGGAGGACCCAAGAAGATATACCTATCTCATAGAACTGGAAGGGACCCTGAAAGGTCATCGAGTCCAGCCCCCTGCCTTCACTAGCAGGAACAAGTACTGATTTTACCCCAGATCC